GAAGTCTTCCTCTGCCATCTAATTTAGAGGACAGATCCCCATCCCAGCACTTCACACTCCGGAATACATTCCTGGCTTTACTGTTTCCACTGCACTTATTTATTTTTAAAATTGGATGAAGAAATGCTTTCCCACCATCCCAGTTCACTGTAGGCCATCTACCCAGGCAGCCTGGCAAAAGTTCAGTGCCACCAAAGCCACCTCCTTGAGGGCAGGAGGCACACAGGCACAGGTTTTTCAGTGGAACAGAAGCCCCCAGAGGGCAGGGATCTGCTACGTCCCAGCACTTAGAATAGCACCTGAAAGGATGCTGGTGCACAATAAAAATTCACTGAGTAAATAGGGAGAAATGAAAGCTGCTCTCTTGAGAAGTGCAGCCGTAAAGGGAAGGAGAGACTTAGGGGTGGGTTGGGGGCCCGGAGTTGTACGGCAGAGGGTGGGCAAGACAGGAAACAGGAGGAGAAAAATGAACTAACAAGAGGGGCACACACAGCAAGCACTTGGAATTCTCGGGGACAAGATCACTGAGGGGCCTCCTTGTAGAGGAAAGACTTGGCACTTGGCGTGAGCCCTGAGAAGTAAGATATTTGGTAATTCGAGGAGTTCTGAGAAGGGCATTCCAGGAAGTAGGAAAAACATAGGCAAAGGAACAAAAAAGGAAGTTTTAAATGGAAGATAGTTTGAGGGATGCAACATCTAGTCAGCATTTTATTATAAAATATTTCAAACCATATGATGCCTTAAATTTACCACAAACTTTTTCATTTTAAGTCTATGAACTTAAAAAGTCACATTTTAGTAGTTTTTCACATTTAATAGCAACTAGCTTCCTGGAGTTTCCCTTCCAGAGCCAGAACAAGGCCAAGTTGAACAGCAAGATGGGGGTGGAATAGTCTCCGAGATGGCAGCTTCTCAGTAAGAAGCTTAAAATTTGTTATTAGAAAGAATTTCAGATTCAGGAAGGTCAGGGTCTAGTCCCATTTTGGCAGTAACTCACCTCCTGTGTGGCTTTAGGCAAATCACTTCACCTTTTTGAGTCTCATCTTACATCTGGGAGAAAACTGAGGGAGTTGGACTACAGACCTAGAATTAGGGTCACAACATATTTTATCGTCTAAAGACACTTTGGAAAGTCAAAGAGGGTGCTATTCTTAATTTTGCCAGAACAACAGACATAATAACACTGATCCCAAAGAAACCAAGATGTACAGTCATCTTACTTAACTGCTTCAGCTCGGAAGCACCATCCTTCTCTAGAAACACCCAAGGCTCCCTTCATGCTCTCTAGCTGGTCCTGTGCCTGGCACATCCCAGATGCTCACTAAGCGTTTGCCCCATTTCCTTTTGGTGAGCTTTTCTGCATTCTTTATGTAATCAAAGCTATTGATCTGTTCTTCCACAACTTCACTGCCTTATAATAGTTGAACCGTCCTTGTGCCAAACAGCTGCACCCTTCCTTCGGCCGATTTCACACTCCGTATAGCCCCAGGTGCCTCTACTAGGAACAGTTTCTCAAAGAAGGTAAATATTTAGGTACAAACCCTATTCTTTTTCAAACCACAGAATAAATAGCCAGTAATCGACTGGTCTGAAATTCTGCAATTACTCAAGGCCTGGGTGGTGGTGAAAACCTTCTCAACTAGATTGCTAATGGACCATTTTAACCATGTATAACATCAAAGAGAGAAAAGTTAAAAAACATACTCGCCTATACATCTGGCAAATCTTAGAAGCAAAGAAAACATTCTACATAGGCCGGAACTCTGATTACTCAAGACCAGGTAACCCAGAGCTGGCCTGCACATTTCCAAATACAGCATGTTAACGACCCGCTAGAGTTTTAAAAGCTGATTGGGTTTTTTTGGTTTTGTTGTGTTTTCTTTTAAGGAAAGTGCATCCTAGCTGTCATATATTTTCTTTCAGCACTAATGATACTTTATGCCTTGTAGGTTTAAAAGTATTTGTCCAGTTATTTACTTTAACTGTAATTGAGTTGGGGGGGGAGAGTGAGGGAGTCACTCCTTCCGTACCCAAGGAGACAGCCGCCCCTCTGCCCCTTCTGGAATGTTCTCTTGCTATTAATTAAAGAACTACAAATATGAGTCATACCCACGGGTTTACGGGTGACATAACTAGATATTCTGAGAACATTTCTCACTGAGGAAATGAACATCCATTCAGTCTATGGCAAGATCAAAAGGCAAGAGGGTGGAACAAAGGCTACAGAACGTCCCAGCAAAGGATCTAGCCTTGGTGTAAAAACTGGACATGCCGGGTTTACGGCCTACTCTCTTGAAATAATCTCAGAAACCAGCAGTAGAGATTACATAAATTATGAAGGAGACGGTCAGGAAAAGCTCTGCTGATAAAGAGCAAACAATCCTTATAAACACAGAGAAAAGGAAAACGTAAAGCGAAACCAACAACACTTTCTCCCTGACTAAAAAAGACAAAATAAAATCTTCATTTCTGAGAATTCTTTATAATAAGCAGTAATCTCCAAAGACTCTTCATCCTCAAAGTCCTTTAAGATCCAAAGGTCAGACATACTAAATTCTCTCTTTTAAGAGAGGCTTCCCCAAACAGAAGAGGTCTAGGTCTGTCTTCACAAGCCAAGGGGTTTAATCATTTTTAGAGTCAAAGAAATGCCTTCCTCAGCCCTGGTCTTGGGTGTGTCCCCTGCTGGTCACCTGCACAGACCAGCAAGCACTGCACCCACCGGAGGTGCCCTCCCCAGAGGGGAAAACATAGAGGAGCATCCTTGGAATGCAGCAGGACTTTCCATCAGTTTCCTGGAAGAATTCTGGGACCTTAGAGGTATTTCTTTGTTTTATAAACAAACACAGAGGATGCCGCTCCTTTTCTTATTCATTCCCTCTGTTAGCTCTTGAGCTCATTTGTAATACTCTCTTTCGGCTGTTTTTAAATCTCAAATAGCTTTCTATCACCCTGCCCTTCTTGGTTTTCTTCACCTTTGGAAAAGTTACTTCTAGTGCCAAAAACATGAAATGAGCATTTATCGTTTTTATGTGGATGGCTTTTTTCCTTCTTTTTCTTTTCTTATATCTCTCTAACAATCCAGGGACCCTGTTAAAATACTCTTAAAAAGTGGAGATTATCTCTTTGGTTTGGCTTTCGCTAAGATTCTGTTACAGTCTTAGGGTTGTTATTCAAGAGCTACTGATCCATTTTAATCACACCATGTAGGAGCCAAGTGGGAGAGGGTGTAGGAACCCCAGAGGACCAAGAATTAGGGAACTTCTCCTTTCCCTCCACTGTTCCACCCTCTGACCCAACATAATACCTGCCTATGATGATTGTTCTAAGAGGAGGTTTCCAGTTTCCAAACAAATTGGTCAGCTATCTCTAAATGGACAAAATCGCAATGTAACCAAACAGGACCCTACAGGGCCTTCCCAAGGTAGACATCACCCCGACCCCGCCAAAACCCTGTTTTTGCTCTCTCTGAAGTACCTAGGTAACAGTATCTGATGCACATTTCCTGAGTTGTTTTACAGATGCTAAAACCACCAGCAAATGGAAGAACTTAACTACTTGATGATCATGAGCCCCCAGACCGACTGGCACCTAAGGATTCATAATGTCAGCCACCCTCTTACCTCAACACCAACCAATCAGAGAATTGTGCACGAGCTGATCACATACCCTGCGACCCCCTCCCTCACGTGGCCTTGCCTTCGGGGGTTTTGGGGTTTTTAGAGAGTGAGTCACCCATCCTCCTTGTATTGGTGCCTTTACAATAAACACTGCACTTTCCTTCACCACAACCCGGTGTCAGTAGATTGGCTTTACTGTGCACGGGCAAGCAGACCCAAGTCTGGTTCAGTAGCAGCACGGGGGGACTTGACAATTAAGCCCCCTTCCCTTCATCCTGTGTGAGGATGGACTGCCTACTAACTGCTGGTGAAACTGCAGGCACAAACAGGATGGCTTCTGCCTCTGCATAAACTCTGGATGGCAAAGAGGGATCAACATGTGAGGGAACCGTTGATCGAAGCTGCCCACCTTGGCTAGGCACGATGCTAACCACTTGCATGAGTTGTCTCACAACAGGAGGTCCCGATAAGGACACGGTGCTGCCGTGGAAAACTAACCAGGAGAATTCGGGAGGGGCCGAAAGCAGGGAGGAGACGCCAGCCCATAATGTGCGCCAACCTCCCAGAAACGGTCATGCTAGATCCATCTTGGCTGAGAGATGCGAGAACCACCAGGGAGGACCCTGAGTCAGATCAAATATGGGCACAAGCAAGATGATTGGTCAGAGACAACCCCACAGCTAACCCTATTACCATAAAACCTGAGACCGAGAGCCACATGGCAGAGCAGTCCTCCTGGGTTCCCTCACCCTGCTCTTCTCCGCCCAGGCACCCCTTCCCAATAGTCTTTTGCTTTGTCAGTACGTACGTCTCCTCACACAATTCATTTCCAAGTGTTAGACAGGAGCCCATTTTCTCAGGCCCTGGAAGGGGTTCCCCTTCCTGCAACAAACGTATTTCCCCAAACTGAGTATCTATCTCTTTTGACAGAAATCACTGGTCTTTCTGCTGCCTGGTCGAAGGTAGGTGATAGAAAATGACTTCTATTTCAGTACCTAAGAAAACTCAGGGCCTAGGATCACACTGCCAGTTAGGTCATATTCCTAGGGCTCCCGGGTCATAATTTTATCAATGATTAAAATAAAATGATTTATAAAACACTGTAAATATAAAAGCACACCACCTAAAGCACAAGACGTCCATCAGGAGTCATGGGGATGAAAATAATAATATCCATCTCTCAGGACACTGAGAGATGACAGTGAGAAGACAAGCATCTGTATAAAGCACCCAGACCTATGCTTGGTGCATAACAGGTAATCAGTAAAAAAGAATAAATAGTAGGTAGAGTTTACTGTTTTTAGGCAGTCTGTGGACCAAGGGTAATTAGGTAGGGAAGACCGACAGCAGATACTCTGAAACCCTCTCCTCGCACATACTTACTGAGTCTCAGCTCCCAGCAGCATCTCCACTTTCTCGTTCACGTGGTTACTAAGGACTGTCAGCGTAAAGAGGTGACTAGCAGAGTTCTGTCTTGAATAAAGCACTGTGGAACTGTTCTTCCCTGGAGAAGAATTAAGCTCTTCGCTGTCACAAGACTCCACCAGTAGCTGATCTCTTAAGGAATAATCATTGACATTGTAACTTTCTTCACTGTAAGGAAGAGGGAAAAAGAACACAGTAATTCAGTGGATGAGACTGTGACATTATCGGTTTTCAAATCACATTTTCGGGGAAGGTGGCAGGGGAGGGAAGGAGGACAGGGAGAGAATGATTTATTTTATTTTTTATTTTATTATTATTATTTTTGCAGTATGCGGGCCTCTCACTGCTGTGGCCTCTCCCGTTGCGGAGCACAGGCTCTGGACGCGCAGGCTCAGCGGCCATGGCTCACGGGCCCAGCCGCTCCGCGGCACGTGGGATCTTCCCGGACCGGGGCATGAACCCGCGTCCCCTGCATCGGCAGGCGGACTCTCAACCACTGCGCCACCAGGGAAGCCTGAGAATGATTTATTTTAAAATAGGAATTGGACTCTGAATTAATCTACTGAGTATGAGTCAATATAACCCTCCAAAATTAAACCTGCTAATTACTATTTTTCTGTAGTATACTAAATTTTATCTTACATATAAAAGCAATATTAAAAACAAATATTAGCACCTACTGTATAGCACAGGGGACTCTATTCAATTTTTTGTAATGGCTTATATGAGAAAAGAATCTAAAAAAAGAGTGGATATATGTACATGTATAACTGATGCCCTTTGCTGTACTAACACAACACTGTAAATCAACTATACTCCAATAAAAATTTTTAAAAAAATTATTAAACCCTCTAGGTTTTATTTTACATTTTCCTGGCATTTCCTTGCAACAAGTGAGACACGCGTGCATCATGGTAAGGCTTGAACAGCTATACTTCCCCAGCCTTACCCCCATCTGCAGGATAGAGGTCGTCCCAAACCTACTCACACTCTGGGTAGCGAAGCTGCACTCGCAGCCTCCAAACCACCAGGCACAGGAGGGAAGAACAGCCCCAGAGGTCTGCTTGCTTCTGGCAAGACGCCCAACCCATCCTTCTCTCTAACATGCATGGCCTCACCACCTGTTCAGAAACCACCAGGACTGATCCCGCCACGCCCTTTATCCCTGCTTTTATGCCCAAGACTGCCTGGTATACTTCATTCCCCTGAATGTACTCTCACCTGCACAGTGCTGTGAACATGCCTAATCGGGCCTCACCTCCCTAAGCCCCTCGGCTGAAGCATTCCACTGCATCCTCCAGAAATGCACCTCATTTAGGGAATCCAACAAAATCTTCTAAATCCTCAGCCTCTTCTCTGAACTCTCCCTTTACCTTGTTGCCTTAACAGAAACTTGGCTGTTCTAGAGAGCACAGCCTCCTCTGAAGGCTCTCTGCCTGCCTGAGTCTCATTACTCCTAGACAATGATCGCTTTGTCCTCCCAGAAGCTCCCCAGCTTTGATGCTCATGCCATCAGTCTCTATCTCATCCTCACCGTCATCTCCAGGCCCCTGGATCATGCCTCATCCTCACTCATGCGTTTAGTTACTGGCTTACTGTCACTCTCCAACACTACTTTCTTGAATTTCCATGTGGCAATCCTTCCATTACCCCAGCCTCTCAGTTCCTTGACTTCCCCTTCAACAATCAACCTTGTCACAACCACCAACTGCAACCTCTCTGCAATCCCAACGTCAAACACCTCTGTCTAACCAGCCCCGCCAATCTCTTTGGCTCACCTCTTCTAATCCTCAACCTCAACAATTTTAACCCACCATTCCTACAACCCACTCACTCCACCACCTTTCCCTCCATCCTTAAACCCTTCATGTCCTCTCATTCATGCTTATTCACTTATCCAACTTGAATTTCTTGATACGTACTTACAATCACTCCTTGCAGACACACTCATTTCCTTGGCAAATCCCAACTCTGCTTAGATACACCTCCCCTCTATTCTCTATGTGTACTCTCAGTTGAACACGGCAGAGCTCAATAATAACTGCTGAGTACGTGGATGACCATGCAATACATTTTAATGTATTCTAGGAACCATATCGTATAATAACCTTACCTAATAATAAATGCAAATGTACGAACTCAGGAGAGCTAAGAGATAAAAAAAATCCTTGTGCCCAACTGTACTAGGAATTTCAGAACAGGCCATTTTGTTCAAGATTTCTTAGAAAGTTTTTCATTCGGTGGTGGGCATCTGCCTGTCAACCACTCCCTGTAACTCTCCTTTAAAAACTTTATAATCATTTTTAAAATTTAGTTTGATAGATTCTTCCCCCTCCGAAACTGGCAAACACAGTTATATCATCTATAAAAGCAAAACACTGCCTTTTGATAAGGTCTGTTTGTTGCTAGGGTAATCGTCTGTATTAACTGAAAGTTCACATGGCAGGATCACCTCCAAAGCTCCCCTGAGACCGCCAACGGACCAGCACAACCATACTCAGAATATATAAGATATTTCTCATATCAAAATGAGGCTTATCAAAGGTCACATAATTTTTATAAAAGGAGGAACCAGGGTAATACACTTTACAAACAAAGTTATACTTTTAAAAGACCGTGTTTACCAGAAACAAAGCAGTCGATTTTTGGCAAAGCTGGTGTCAGGCTGCACCCTGCAGGCCTACAAGCCTCGTAGCCGCCCAGCCTCGAGACCGAAGAAAGAACGCGGAAACAGCGACAGAGACATCAGTGGTTTATTGGAGAGGGGATCTCACACATCCGAAACATCTGCGCCCTGTGCTGCAGACAGCAGGCGGGACAGGGCAGCAGTCTTCATTGCCCGGGGCGGGGGAGAAGGAGGCTCCATTTATAGGGGGAAGTGATGCCAGGAGGGCTTATCAGTTACCAGGGAGACCAGCACCTGGGGCACATCACTCACAGCCCCTCAGGTTAATGACCGTCACGAGGGTAGACGTTTCGCTTTAATAAACTAGCAGATGGAATCATTCTGTCCTGATGATTAGAACAATCACTAGCTGGGGCAGGGGGCAAGCACGTTCCTGTGAGTAAGGTGTAGGTAGGTGGCACTGCTCCAGCAGGGGATGTACAGAGAACAAGAGAACAGCCATCTTGAGTGGCCTGACCATACAGCAAGTAAAGCTTATAATATTGTCTAGATAGCTCAGACACAGATGTAGTAATACCCAGGACTCAGGATAAAACCAAAAAGTAAAAAATAAAGACAAAAGCAAAACCTCAACACCAACATCAAAAACAAGAGAAAAAAACAAGATGAACAAGGACTTGCCTGTTACTGTCTTCTCTCTGCACCTTTGAGTTACTCTTTCGGTCCAACTCACAAGTTTAAAAAGATGACCTTTTAGTTAAAGACGCCCATTTCCAGTTAAAAATAATTCTGCTTCGGACAGAGAAATCCAACCTCCTTAATGCTGCGCACATGGGGTATGTAGGCAGTGCCCTAAATAATGACAGTGCAAAGGTATTCTTTGTATTCCCAAAGAAATAAAAGGCAAAGAAATCTATATGCCATAACGCCATCATTCAAGATGACTCAAGTTCCAAAAAGTCTTCAGCGTAAAGTGGCTTTACTTACTAGGTAGTCCCCAGTAGAATTCAAGACGAAGAGTTCACAGGAAACTAATGTAAACAAATAGGATAAAACTAGTTAAGTCTTTTTTTCCCCTCTTAATTTTCAGAGTTCATATTTCTCCCAGTGTTTGCCTAAGTACAAACAATACCAGCTACTGTTGTTTCATCGATGTGTTGAATCTTTGTCTTCGGCGGGGGGGTAATTAGAGACAGAAGAAGTAGACAAGTTAATAGAATGTTTTTTTAATTGTTTTCTTAAGCCATGACATCTACAATGCCATTAAGACCTAGGGTGACCGTTTGATCCAGTTTACACCTGTGGTTCTCTCAGGTGTCCGGTTGGGATGATAAAGAGCAGCCACTTTATTTATAGCTATGTGAGTTCACCTCAAGGTATCCGTGTCTACACACCTGCACATCTGGGTCACTGAATGTGCCTGCACACAGAACTTTCCCACTGTTTTGCCTTCTGTATCCAAAATAGGATGCAGGAAACAAGTCTGCTTTTTTTTTTTTAACTGATTCAGTAGCAGTCACCCAATATCATTATTTCATCTAGACCTGCAAACATCTTCATTATGTGATACATAAATGTCCACAACTTCTTCACTACTTCTTTAATGAACTTAATATAAAAAACTTGATTTAACAGTAGTCAAGTAAGTTGATGATTCATCCCTGTCAGCTATTATTCAAACCCAATGGAATAAAAACTGAAAAGGAGCTCACTCTTGCTAGCGTGTTTGTGCTCTCTCACACACAGACACATTCACACACTTAATCTCATAAAGGTTCAAAATAATATTTTCCCCTCTCTAACTCTGCTAAATACTGAGTGAAATTCATTCTCCTCATGTCAGCCAGCACCTACTGTCTCTCTCATGCTAATACAGAAGGATAACTGTTAAAATATGGGCTTAAGCAGAAAGGAGAGGAACGAATCCACAGTCAGATGCAGCCATTTACAACCCCACTTCCTCCTCTGCCGACCCACTTACTGTGTCCAGTAAGTACAAAGAGAGCTCAGCTGGGCTGGGGAAGATGCTCCTTTCCTAGGGAAGTTGATGCTAATCAGACTTCCCCATGTTTGTTTCTTCCATTTAACAAACATATGGTTTACACAGTCTCTGAAACAATTTGGATCAAGCAATTAGGAAGTTAAACTGCTCAGAAAAAGGCAAATGGAAAAACCACCTTTCCTCGCACAGAGAAGTTTATATGTAGACTTCCTCTGATTGTCTTAGACAGGCTCCAAGTTTACCAGCTGCTCATGAAACAAGCGGCAGCTTTGTGCAAGCAGAGGCTCCTATCAGGCGCAGCAATCAAATCTATACAAGCCTGTTGCTCTGTGGTATAAACAATGATGGGTCTCCCTGTTGAAACCCACTTAAAAGTCCTAGTAGCCTTTGTTGAGATTCCTTTCTTTTCTTAACAAGATAAAAAACTACCAGTAGAGAACAGGATATGGTGGTAAATAAGTACCTCAATTATTCTTCCCTTGGAAGGCGTTCTTTTGTTAAGCAGCTCGATAGTGTTTGGTTCTACTACATGCTACCTAA